TAACTGGGGAAATAAATAGGAATATAATGGTGCCCTCTAGACCTGGTGCTTCTGCTAGTGTGCACATGTCCTTTGCATACTTGGAAATACAAATGCCATGGCACCAATATCTAATAACATCTGAGTGCAAGTTCATTTGAACTGCTTAGATGTGGGGCATAAAACTGACACATGCTACTGAAAAGCTAATTTTATCTTCCTGGGGCTATTTTTGAGGCCTCTTTCATTCCTGAACTATTTCTTCTGTAGAATACCCTTTCTCTGCCCTTAAAACGCACTGGAGAGGCAAGAAAACAACTTGTCTAGGATGCTTATCGTTTGGTTTTCTGTTGCAATTATTCTCTTTCAGGTGAGAATTAGCTCTTTACAAATGTCACCCTCCCTCTCCCGGTAGTGTTTATTAATTCCCACAATCACCTTTCATAGTTTTGCTAGGAACATCTTTATTCCCAAATAAACTTTACTCACCAAGCTGGTGTCCACTAAAAGCAAAGGCATTTTTTCACACCATTTTAGATAATAGGCTGAGTTAAAAAATAAAAATTAAAAAAATGCTATTCATATAGTACTTTTCATCAGTGATAGAATTGCAGTGGTTTATTTGAACAGAGATCAGCTTTAACTTTCTTGTTTCATAATCGCAAACACAAGCATTCTTGGTCAGCTTTAGGACTGTGATGAGATGAGGAAGGTACCGCTGTCTGCCCACCATTAATGTTAACAGAATTAAATAAACTTCTTTTTGTTCCTTGATCTTCAGTTAAAAATAAAAACAAAATTAGAACCATTATAAGCATTAATATCTATTTTCAAACATGCAGGGGAGATGGGAATCCTTAGAAGGCATAGAAGTTTACTTTGGTTGGAAGGAAACCCTTGGGAAGAAGCTACATGGGCTTTTGTAACGAGTTGCATTCCAGTTAAATAGATCTCAGTGTCCTAAAGTGCATTTCTGGATTGAGGGATAATGTTTGGTCTTGATGATACTATATCTGAGAATGTGTAGCATCAAAAATAAATTTATTTTCCTTTTAATCACCAAGATATCACTAATAAACTGACGTGATTCTTGGTACCATTTTCTGTGGTGGTAGTTTATAATGGAAAATAACAGGAGGAAACCAGTGCCTCAAAGGTGACATGAATGTCAGATTTATATGGTAATAAGAGACGTTAGATCAATCCTCCAATGTACAAGCTAAACAAAATTGCCTGGTTCTGAAGTTTTCTCATAAAGGTAGAGGCAAAGACAAAGTGACCTTTTTAACCCAAGACCTTAACAAAGGTTTGCAAAACTTTCTGGTCTCTTTTGAGGTTAGTTATCAGGAGATATGAATGGCTTTGTCTGTTGGTGATGAAATTATACTGAATTTAATTTGAGCAGAAGAGCTCAAGCAAGGCAAGTAGCATGTGAAACTTGATGTTGTATTTATCGGGTTAAAAGAAAAGACATACAGGTACTCCAAGGGAAGTTACAGTACTCTTGGTTTTTATTCCCCTGCTTGATATCTGGTAATTGATAGGCTGAGGAATGCAGCATCATCCATTTCTTTTGTGGTCTCGGTTACCATAGAGCACCTGCAATGTACAACAAAACAACAAACATTTCCTGCTTTGTTTTCCTGGCAGTTTTCTGAGTTCAGTATTTTGGAATTAAAATGAAATAGTGTGAGTCAATATAGAGCACACAGAATACCTCATTTCTTGATCCTCTGATGAGCATTTTTAGAAAAAAAAAAAAAAAAACAACTGCTGAAATATGCATCATAATCAATCTGATGAACAACCAATGGAGAAGGCTTTTAAATATTTAAGAATCTCTGTAGTAGAGAATAGCACAATTTTTTAAAACGAGACTGCAACTTCCTATAGACTGCCACAGAAGTCCTCCATATAAGACTTTCATGCCGGAAGGCTTAAAATATCTAACCCAGGGTACTTGTAGTTGGTATCTGATGTGGCCTCTCTGGATTACGCTCACAATCTTATTTCAGTTTCTAGGGTGTGACCACAACATCTCTCCACCCCTCTTCCGGCAGGACCAGCTCTTGCTGGTGCTCACCATCCCTGTGCACCTGCTTTTGTTTCCTTAAGTAGTCCAGCAGAAAATCCTTCTTTCAGTGCCCCAAATTTCACCCCCCTTGTGAAGGACACTGTCCTGGGTATCACCCATACACTGAGAGCAGCCTGGGGTGTGGCACCCACCTACTGCCCAGCCCTGCCTGCTCCTGCAAACTCCCTGGCCTCAATTTTTAAACACCAGGCACAATTAATCTTAAAATAGTTTGAGCAACAGGGTGGCTTTCTAAATAACAATTTGTCATTATAGATATTGGTTTTTGCAAGGTGAAGCTTGAATAAGGTAATATTTTTGGATGATGCTTCAGTGAAGAGGTTTTCTGGAGATCTGTGATTTACCTGTTACTACTATTTTGCTATTTAACAAGCAGAAAGCAGCATGTAACAATAATAGTAATCTTAGTTAGAATGGGTTTGATGAAAGTACACTTTAATTCACTAATTATGACAGCTAAAAGGCATTTTTAAATTTGGTGTTAAAATAAGTGTATCTGTATTTCTACCTCACTCTTCCTGCTGCAGAACTCTCTCCTACCATGTTTTTAGTCATGTTATGCAAATGCCTGTTTAAATTACTAGGAGTATTTGTTTTCTATTTCTGCCCTGTAAAACATAATTTTAATACAAATTATTTGTGAAATGCACATTGTAAAAGGAAATAAGGTTTCAGATGGCATTTCTATGATAATTTTACTGCAAATGTTGACCATGTTTTTGTATTTGTCTGTAAAAGGCAATGCAGGCTGTATGTAAGGCATATTTCAAAGGTCTAATGTTGTATGTGACTAAATTAGTGAGGTGGCGTTGGTTTCCCTTTGAACAGTTAGTCTAGCACTAATCATACGCAGCAAAATAGATCACGGCATTGCATACATTTTGTGGGAAGCTGTTGCTCATGCACGCTGTGCAGAGCTGAGTGGCACTGCACAGCCCTAGTGCTCTCTCTTGCCCTCCCTCTGCAGCCAGGGTTTTTGGCTCAGGGGTGCCCCAGACCCTGGCCTGGGACCGGGTACATGCCCTGATGATGTCCAGGAGCTGCAGGCTGGGCAGCCCGGCCTCCAAAGCATGGCTGGCACCGCAGGCAGGCGTGATGTATGGAAATAGGGGGAGGCAGATGCACAAGCAAGGAAGCCAAGGTGGAGGGCATGCTGAATACCCAAAGACTGGCTGTGTTGCTCTGCCAGCGTGAGGAGAGGGTGGAAAACTTTGGGAAACTTGTGGGGTCTGAAGCATTTAGTCCCTGGGAAAGTGCCTTGTGAATCCCCAGCCAGATCTTCACATTGCCTCGATAAGTGCAAAGCTACAATTAAAATCACACTTTCTAATTTAGATTAATTTGTTTAATAAACAAAGGTTGGTTGCATTTAAAAAATGTATGCACAAGTTTGCTGCATGTGGGGAGAATAACGGATATTGCTGGCAAGAGATTGCTCTTAATAAAACATCTCCATTTCGATGACATGCTGTATTTTTACTTGGCTTGATCCCCAGCTTTTAAATCCAAATGGAAATTTCAGAAACAAAAAAGATTTTGGGAGGTGGGATCCTGTTGTTTGTGTCTCTGTTGCACTTTTCAATCAAATGACTTGTATGAGACTGAAGTTTGACAAACCTGCTGTACTGTTGTGAGGAAAAGCTTCCTCATAAGATCAAAAACATATAGCAGATACATGTTTTATTGAACATTACTAAAAATAGCACTTTAAACCCTTACTCTGTCTGTAATGCTCTTTAAGTATCTTTTCAACATTGCCTTTATTATTAAGTCTCTGAGCTTTGGAAATAATTTTGTGATTCTTTCTATTCCACGGATCTTATTTTTCAAGGCACTCGATGTTTGTTTCCTATTTTGCATGCCTGTATGTGCAGTTGGCTGTCAGTCAGCCGATGACTGTTCAGTCGTGTCGGACAAGATCCTAAGACTATGTCCTTAAGCAAATTCCAGACCCAAGATAATGAATGTGTTTTACGAGGCGAATTCTTTAAGGATCTCAATAGAAATGAGGAAGATGTATTTTGCTTCTCGGTGACTCCCACCCCAGGAGCAGGGGAGCTCTCTTGGCTTTTTGTCCTCCCCACCACTGCCTGTGCATGTCCCCGTGCTGAGCCACCCGGCCAGCATCGCCTTTGTGTCTCCATTGTCACCCACCTGCAACTGAAGCTGAAAAGCAGGATGCGATACAAACACAAGGGAGCCAAAAGAGGTGCCAAAGAAGTGAGGACTGGGAGGTGTGATACAAGCCAGCTAGGAGAAAATGCCTAGTCAAGATTTTATTAGGGAAAATAGACGATTGAATAAATACTTCTGTACAATCAAATATGTTATTGGTCTTGCATGATGTTATAAACAGCATTTGCTGAAACATGACATGCAAAGCTACATTTTTATGATGTTGTGACTTGAAATAGAGCTAAAAATGGCAGGTAATTGGGTTTAGAGGATTGAGCTCAAATATTGAATTCTTCCCCCTTTCTGAAATCTTCCTGTCCTCCTCTTACTGGAAAAGACACCAAGTGTGTATTGTTCTTTTATTTTTAAATCCATTTTAATATCACCAGTGACACAAGTCGTGTTTCTCTTGTTGAGTTTTCCATCAGGCTGATTGGTGAGAGTATTCAGCACCCATTTCTGACATTTGCCTTCAGTTTACTTTGTTTTGCTTATTTTACTTCTAGCCTAGCAATATGAAAAAACACTGGCATTACCTTCAAACAAACACAAAAACAAAAACCTCCCCCCTTAAAACTATCTATACCTGGAAAAGTAAAGGGGCTGTGTATAAAAATAGCTTATTTCAGTAACCTACAAGGAAGAAAAAAAGCTGCTTTTTTTTTTTTTTTTTTTTTTTTTTTTTTTGAGAAAGAGTTAAATGAAAACAATTGTCTTATTTCGGTTTTGTTTGTTTGTTTGTTTTTTTTAGGCTAAAGCCTTTTGGCTGAGGAAGACTTTTGGGGAAGACTTTTGGGTGTGCTGAAACCTGTCTGATACCTTGCCTTCAAGCTTCCAGTTTCCCAGCAGTGTCCTTGCACAATGTGAAGGCACTTGTCCTCATTCAGGGCTGTGTACATGCTATATCGAAAAACTTAACATGTTATGTATGCAAATGAATCAAAACATATACATTGATGCACTGAAATTTGGGAGTGTCATCTTTCTCAGCACCTCGTAGACTGGCCTGGTTGAACAGAGCCCCAAATCCTCGACTTTCCTAAGAGCAGGTGATATATTAAGACAAGAGCATATTATGCAGTAAGACATTAACAATGAATCTGAAAAGGTATTGTGAATGTTAAAATTGTACTGACTAAAATATACTGAGGTTAAAATACAGGGTAACTTTACAAATCACTATTAATTTCTTTGGCTTTCATTGCAATAACATTGATTTAATTCATTAGAATCCTTTCTAAATCTATATTTCAGTTTTAGAGTTGTCAGTTTCTGTTAATGACAATTTAGCCCATCTGTTCTAACATGAAAATGAGGCTTCATGCAGTAGACATGATAGATCTCTAATAGTTGAAGAAGTAAGAATCTTAAAGGTATTTCATTTGGATTGTATCCACTTTGATGCAATTCACCCTTGAAATCAAGCCTAGTACTAAAAACTTTTAACTGTGTAATCAAAAAAACAAAAATGTCATATCTTGTCATTTAGGCCACTGTCTATTTCATAATTTACATCAAAAATTTCAAAACATTCCCACTCATTCTCTCTCTAATGACAGAGCCATAATTTTGGGTGTCAGCATATCAGAATTCCACTGGATGTGATTAGAATAAGAATTAGTTTCTTTAATTTGGCCATTCAAACGGTAATATTACTACAGTAAGTCATTCTACTGAACAAGCCAGTGCCGCCAAGCTAGGTTACAACTTAGGTTTCAATACAGGTTTAAAACTTCAGTTCCTTGCACAGGTCAATCTTCTGAAGGGGTAATTTTTCAAAGCAGTGTGTGAGTCTTAAGCACACAAATCCAGTTAGCAAATAACAAGATTATGTTCTGTGCACTGCTTTGAAAATTTATCCCTAATATCCTAGAGATAGGAGCACAGTTATTGCACACATTACATATGAGGTATAATTTAAATTGTTTTTTAGTAAGCAGTTCCCTGCATTTGTGTAATGCAGTGCTATTCTGGGGAAAAATGCTCAGCTAATTATTCAGTCTAGAAAAATAAACACATCCATTAAAGGCTAGGCTACATATTAATGCACGACCTTTGCAACCGTAGTGTTTATTTGCAAATCTTCTAGAAAATTTTGTATCCATTAAATATATATGGAATGGGATATTGTCTTTATTGCTGAAAGTTACCAAATTCACATTGGCTTAAACTCAGCAAAATGCAGTGCTCCTTTGTAACAAAGGCGATGGTTCCTACAGTGTGCTCCATTACTGCTTTTTGTTTCAGACTTCTCTCGAATTTCAGAATACAGCTAGGAAAATCAGACTAAATAAGCTCCCACGGGACCAGATTTCTAATTTCTAAATACAAACTATTGAAAATTTAGCTTTTCAAGGGTAATACTTCTAACAAATTAAAAATCAACAAAAATATTATGCTTCTATGTTACCTGTTCAAGTGTATAGAATGTACAAAAACTTTAATCAAATACTCAGGTTTGCTCAGTTTTACATTGTGTTAGTTTAATAGTTTCTATTCTGCTGTTTATATTAATGACATATTCTCATCTAAATATATTGCAATGCTGAAAAGCCATCAAAACATTTCTAAGGTTGAATGAGTGCAGTTGCATTCATGATTTTTTTAATAAAATGATCTCTTTCTATTGAACTGCCTCTTTTTTTTTTTTTTTTTAAACAGGGATCGAGATTGTATAATATATATATACATAGTTATAGGAGCATTATAAATACAAACTGCAGCTTCATTTACTGTCTGAATGTTTGATTTCAGTTCATAGCTACACAGTGGGCTGAGAAATGTGAGTTACTGTACATAAAATATGAGGGGAAAAGAAAGAAGAATAAAAAATGAGAGATGCCATTGATTGTTTTTTTGCATATTGATTAAAAGTCTTATGATTTGAAGAAGCTACTGATAATTTGCTAATAGTGATTTTCCAAGAACTGATGCTTCTAAAAGCAATTTTCATCTATTCTCCTATTCTTCTTTCACAGTCCAGTTTACATTCTCCACTTCTTCATTCCAGTCTCTTTTGTAGGCATTTAATATTTGTAGTATACATATAAAAACAGTTTGATATTGGCTAAATTTGGGCATAGTCCATGTTATGAATATGAACATCTGCAATGGAATTAAAAGCAGCATTCACCAAAATCCAAGTGCAAAGTATCCCAGTTAAGCATACGATTCTGAATGCATAATTTATTTGTCGTATTTTGTTCCTTTCCTCTGTGCGGAATGTTTATGAAATTCACAGATTTATTAGGTATTTAGAATTTTCCTTTAATTTCTTTCTGTTTTTCCCCTCTGAGCTTTCTTTGCCTGTAGTTAATCTGTGCATGGACTGGTCCCATGTAATTTTATTCTGTTTCTGTTTGTGACTAGTTTGATGACTAGCCAACCTATCAAGGATTTCAAATATTCAAACTAGAGCTGAAATTCAAGAACCTGCTATTGCTGTTTGAGTTTAAAATGTATTTTCCTATTAGTAAACTGAGCCATTAAAATACTGGTGCACCAAATAACCCTAAATAGTATTTACTGGTAAATTCTAATGCCTATGAATCTCCCCAGACACTCTGTCTCTCACTCCCACTCCTTTTTCTTACTTTTTTTTTGTTAATTTCTGTAAGAAAATTTGGAAACTCTTTGGATAATTCTCTGATCATATCTGTTTTAGCTTGTACTTTTTTTTTTATTATTATTATTTTTATTTTTCCCCTGGGAAGATAAACACAAGAAAATGAATCAGGTGACATGCCTTTCCTGAGTTGGTGTTGGTCCAAAATTTGTGCATAATCCAACTAGACAAAAATCAATCCCAAATATTCTGATCATGACTGAGCTGGGAAGTGTTCCACTGAACAAGTTCTGTGGAAAGCAAGGGTTGATGCAACCACGTCTGTGTTCCTGCCTCTCTACCCTAGAAGTCTGTATTTCAAGAAGCCAATTACATCTAAATTCAGAAGAGGAGAGCTGGGTCAAAACCAAAGTTACTAGAGGCCTTGAAAAAATTAGCCCCAGGGTAGAGAGATCCTGTAAATGCTGCTGCTGTTTTGAGCAGAACAGAACACAGCTTGTATTTCTCAGGGACAACTGGTCCAGCAAAGTGCACGTGCTGTCCCATCACTGGTGGCTGGAGTGTTAGATGAGTGGGGATTCTACCCAAAGCTCTTGCTCGGTGTGATGGCAGTCATTTGGTTCATTTGGAAAATAAGATGTTGAAAAAAGTCTTTAATTCTGGGAAACAGAGGATTTGGTGTTGACTCATACTGAGTTTTATTTCATTACAAAATTCCAGTTTTGTCCTAATTGTATGTGAAGAGCATACCCAGGTTGCCCAACACGCCAGGTATGTGACTTGTTTCCCTCCTGAAAAGCACCATATAAAGGCAGCCCTCCATCAGCTAGTTACATAGTCTAAATGTAGATGCTACAACTGTCCTTCTCCAGGGTGAGCTCCCACCCATGTACAAATGTGGAGGAAAGAACAGGGGTTTATCAGGAAAAATGAAAGGAAATAGGAAGCAGAATTCCCATAGATCACGGCTGTTTCACTCTTAATATTTAATTAAGAACATGATATATTGAATGCAGTAAAAGCTGAGTGATAGTTGCTAATATTCATCACGTTTACAAGTTTAAGGAAAATATTCAAAAATTTACCCACAAATAAGTGCAGAGGTACCAACAGAAAGGCTTTTTGTCATAATGTGGATTGAATATGGCAATCTGATCCATCTTTCTAATAGTGCTGGTAAACAGATTGCTCTAATCAGGTATCAATGCTAATATATATAAAATCTTTACCCATTTAAAAATAATAAATAAAATATTTTGCTCCAATTAATTCTGATTGTGCTAGTAGAACATACAATCAACAATGTTATGCAAATAGTTATTTGTGCAGATGAAATCAATAACTTATTTTCTTTTGTAATATACAGAAAAAAAAAGTTATTATTAATTGCTTATAAAACTAAATCTTTTGTGGGAAGCCTGCAGGTATTAATCTCATTATCAAGACTTTTGTTCAAAGTCTGTATGGCCATTATTGTTCATGATTCGACCACTCAAGAAATCTTGCCATAGACTCCTATTTTGAAAGTATTTTTTTGGAAGCTGAATGAAATTAGTTCTTTGAGAGCTAAGTAATTGTAAAGTTACATTATCTTATGGAAAGAGATAACTGATAAAATCTGACAATTTCAATTTTAAAATGGCTGTTCCTTGCTACAATGAAGTCATGATAACCCTCATATTTATAAATCTATAGCTTACCAGCTACATATACATAGTCATGAAGTATCTGTTACGCTTACTGATAAAATTACTTTAAATATTGATTATAAAATAACCCATGTTAACAAAAAGTATATTGCTTGCTCATGCACACAGTATTGTTTGCTTCATTTGAATTCCTGTCACTCTAATTCTTTTCTCATTTTTGTTTTATTTTCTTGAACATCCATTGTTCAATTTGGTTTGATCAATAAAGAGGAAAAGCTTCGCTAATTCAGCTGTAGCGACAGCCCCATGTGCCAGTGGGTGCTGGGGAAGGACCTACAGCCCCACAAGGAAAACGTGGCAATGTTCTTAGCTGTCCAGGAGGAATGAGCACACTTTGGTTAAGACTTTGTACACCTTGCTGTATATCCTACAGAAAAATTTTAGTGTCATCTTTAAATGGATGAGGAGAAAAGGACAGTCCAAGCTAGTAATACAAGCAGCTAATGCTGCTCACTAGTCTTTAGACAGCTCTCCTTGTCATGCCTGATCCTTGGAGAGCTTGGATTTAAAAATCCTCTTGTGGTCACAGTTCTTCAGTCTTTGATTAACTATGGAATCCTCTTTGCCACTGGACGTTTGGCCTTGTACCCAGTATGTGTCCTCGGTACCCAAAGAGATGTCTCCATGGTATCTCCACCATGTCTTTGAAGAGGTGCTGCCTTCCTTCTCTTACATCTGCAGAAACTAATGGGGCACACGTATTCCAGAAAAGGGCCAGTGCGTCTTCATCAGTGAAGCTTTTCCCACCCTAAGGTAGGTGTTGAGCTTCTTTACCCTTGTATGTGGTTCTAGATATATAGTGCTGATCCTGTGCCTGTGCAGTTTTCAAAGTCATGCCTGCTGCTATCAAAACAAGCTTGAATTTTGTCTTCAAAATGATATCTACTTTATTCACAATCAAATTGTGCAAATCATGATTCTTCAATAACTTTCTTCCATGTTGTTTTCAGACAGAGAGCTAAATAACCTGGAGTATAGTTGTAACTTCCCTTCACAATGAGAGTACCTAATATCCAGGATGCGCTCTATGGTAGCAAATGCTACTGTGTAAAACAGAAAACAAACAAGCAAATAAAACCAACAAACCAACAAACAAGAAAACAGCAACAAAAAAACAAATCCTCAGGACAGCTACAGCACTGTGCAGAGCAATTATCTGTTTTGAAAGTCTGTAGTGGTTTTTTGCCCTTTTTTTTTTATTTTTTTTTTTATGACTCCATCCACTTCTAAAGTTTGCCATGAATCACAGCAGACCATCCAAAGTGACATGAAACATCCAGCAGATCAGAAGCAGCAATTTCATAAAAACAGTGTGTGTCTGTTTTCCTGCATGTAACTTACAGGATGGCTGGGTCTGTTTTTTTTTGTTGTTGTTGTTGTTGTTGCTGTTTTTTTGTTTGTTTGTTTGTTTGTTTTTGTTTTGTTTTTGAGAAAACATAGCATCCTGAAGTTATAACTTCTTGTTATGCATGGGGTTTCATTCATGTAATATATATATTTTTTTTAATGTGGGTATTAGGATACATTCCCAACACGCTTTGGTGTTATGCATTCCTTCTGCCTTGATTGTGGCATGAGGAAGATATTGCCTGTGTGGGTGAGGCCTGTTCACCTTGTCTGTGGGACAGACAAGAAACTTCGTAGTTTCACTGTCAGTTCCAAAAATATAAAGAAATAGACTCAGAAATCTTCTCAGTTTATAGAATCTGTTGCCAATTAGCTGTGCTGGGGTGTGGTTAACACAAACTAATCATACTCTGGAGTGCTAAAATGTACATGGTGCAGCAGAGTGCCTCACGTCTCCTGGGGTGTGATTATTTAATGATAATGATGCCCCCTGCAGAGGCACCTTATTGCTCTTTTGCAAAAACAATCTTTATTGAGGGGAATTAATTGCATTGTTGTTGATAGAAAGAAATAAGTTAATATTTTGAAATGATCTTTCTGGTTTGCACAGCTTAAAGGGATGTTCGCACAATTATGTCAAATAAATGACCTGCTTTGAAAGTTTCTTAATCTATTAGGTCTGGATTCCAAAACCACTCTGGAGATACATGTTCTCTGAAGATTTGATTTCACTGTGAGTCTTGAAATGCTGAGAAGAGTTAATCTTTCTGTTCCATGGATACCTTGTATTGCTGCCTAAAAATTGATCTCTTCAGGGTCACTGACTGTGTTTTCTAGTTAGAGGCAAATTTGCAGTTATACTGGATTCCCACAGCATATTTACTCTATGCAAAGTATCTGAGAGCAACTTTTATGGTAGGGTTTTTAATTAGTGTGATGTATAAAAGCAGCAAAGTTAATAAGGATGAAATTTGCTGGTGTGCTGACTTCTATGGAAGGCAATTGCCTTA